TTTGTGAATGATCCTCTCTCTGTCCCTCCTTGCAGGCTGCAATCATCAGCAGGATCCAGTGCAGGATTGTGGCTTTAGACCTCCGAGGCCATGGTAAGTCAAAGCATCAACCTGGAGTCACATCAGTGTGTTGCACACTCCCATTTTATAGAGGACATGCAATGAATTCCTCACAGGATAACGGGAAAACACCCTTAAAGCATCCCAGTTTGGATTCAAATCGGGGCTGGAAGAATGGCTTCTGTCAGAAGCTGAGACCCCTGAACTCTGTGTGAGACAGTGGTGCATTTGTTCCTTCCCCCATGGCCTCTTTCATGTTTCCATAACCTGCAGGTGGCTTTGCCATGAGCAGTGAGGGCTGTTCTTTCACCATAACGTCCATAGGAGCAGTTACAGGCAGTGTTTCCTGCCCGTGGTGCCAAGTGTTCCCGTTAATTCTGTGTTTCTCAATTATTCATGTCCACTGCAGTGGCTGCTCTTCCTCTCTGTGCCTGAAAGCTTTGTACCCTCACTGCTCTCAGTCCTGAGGGGGCTGAAGTTTTTCAACTTAAGTGAACTGAACTTGGGTTGGGTTTTTTTCAGGAGAAACAAAAGTAAGGAATCCTGAAGATCTGTCTGCAGAGACYATGTCAAAGTAAGGAAACTTTTGCTTGTTTCCCCTTTCCCAAACTCCATTTTCTTTCCTTGGCTGAACAGTGAACTACTCGAGGGCACTCAGCCTTCGTTCAGAGGAGCTGGAAGGTTTAATTCCATGTGATTCTGGTGGTTATCCCTTCTTTTCCTTCCCTTGTGGGACAGTTTGAGGTTTTGTCTCTCCCAGCTGAGTCAGATTCCCAACTGGAGTCGTTCTCTGGGCACTCTGAGTTTTCAGCAGTGATCCCTGTAAACCTGCAGCGTGCTGTAACACGTGCCAGAGAGCTCCTGATGGAGATGGAATGCTTTCCTTGGACATCCCTGGGGTATTTGAGCCTGAAATCACCAGTGTGGCTGTTCCTCAGCTTTTGGAGCCCGTGTTCAGAGCAGACCCCTCTGGCCTGGTGACACCCCCAAAGTCTGGGTCACAGACACTGAATTTGCAGGCTCAGAGTTGTTTTTTCAAACTGTCATGACCCTCTTTGGCAGGCAAATCCATCCCCTCTTGACAAAACTGTAAGAAAATCAAATACCCACTGCTGAGCACATTATGTCCTGCCCATATTTAGTACAAAGAGACTCTTTGCCATGACTACAACCAAATGATGAAGGATTTTGTAACCTTCCCATGGACAAATCCAGTTGGTTTGTTGGGGGGAGGCCATGTGTGAAATGTATTTTGACTTCCATTGTATACCTTATTCCTGCTGCTTATGCCTTGTCAGATCCTGATGTGTAACTGTCCTGAGGAGATGCCAGATTAAATAATTAGAATATTTTAAATCTGGAGCAGCGCTGCTGTGGGGGGAAAACAAGTTCCTTTTGCTTTGAAGCCTTCCCCTCTTCTTAGCAATGGCCTTGAAACTTAGTCCTGACTATCTTTTAAATTGGAGCTTTATGGTTTTCATGTTTGTTTTTTAAAGCAAATCCTCAAGCGATTTCCTCTAACAGAGCAAACAAGCTGGTCAACCTGTTCATTTTTCTCTTGCTTTCCCCCTTGGACACTGCTCAGTCCCCAGGTTGTTCCTCTGAGTGGTTGGAGTCAGGAAAGGCAGCCCAGGGTGTCTTCTCCCTGCTTTGAGTGGGTTCAATCGTTAGCTCTGCTGCTGTTTTGGGGTTTGAGAATCACAGCAGGCAGCTTTCCATCCTGGGAAAAGTGATGAGACACTGGGACAGCTTCAGTTTAAGGCAGGTCCTTTTGGAAAGGATGGGGAAGTTGCCCTGTGGCATCTGTGCTCATAGGGAGTGTGACTCTCTTTGCTGGTGCTCAGTGTTGCCATGATCAGTTGTTTGTGTCTCTGTAGTTCCAGTCTCTTTGAACAAGGCTCAGTTTATTGGTTTGTGCCATGCAGGGACGTGGGGCACGTGGTGGAGGCTCTGTACGGGGATGTGCCCCCTCCCATCATGCTGATCGGGCACAGCATGGGGGGAGCCATCGCGGTGCACACGGCCGTGGCCAGCCTGCTGCCCAGCCTGCTGGGGCTCTGCATGATCGACGTGGTGGAGGGTGAGTGCTGCCCAGCCCGGGCTCTGCTCATCTGCTCTGGCCCCAAATCCCTGACTGAGAAAACTCTGCCCGGGCTCTGCTCATCTGCTCTGGCCCCAAATCCCTGACTGACAAAGCTCTGCCCGGGCTCTGCTCATCTGCTCTGGCCCCAAATCCCTGACTGACAAAGCTCTGCCCCGTTTTGAACCCATCCCGTCCTCCTCGCACATCCTACCCACACAAAAACCTTTCCCTGCTTTTCCCAGCTGGACTCTGTTTGCTTTTTTCCTGCTAATTTCACAGGATCACAGAATCAGCCAGGCTGGAAAAGACCTCTGAGATMATGGAGTCCAACCCATGACCTCACACTGCATTGTCAACCATGGCACTGATTTCCTTGGAATACTTTCTTGGTGGGGCGGAGGGTGGCTTTTGCTCTAGTGCTTGGGGCTGAAAAATGTTTGATTCTTTCCCGTACTCTCTGAACATCCTACCTCTTCAAATAGTGATTTTCCAATGTGACTGTTGGCTTAGAAATGCTAGTCAGAACTTTGCTTAGCAGTATTGAAATCCCCTCCAGCTCTCTCCTGAGGGGGTTCCAGCCAGTTTGGTGTAGAGGGATGTGTCAGTAATTTTGTCATGAGGATGATGTCATTTGCCTTCAGGTACAGCCATGGATGCCTTGAACAGCATGCAGAACTTCCTAAGGAGTCGGCCCAAAACGTTCAAGTCCCTTGAGAATGCCATTGAGTGGAGGTGAGGCTGGGGCTCAGTCTCTCAAATCACTTGCCTGGTACCTTGACTAGGGCAGGAATCAAAGTTTGTGTAATTTGGCTGTTTTCAGTCTGAGAGCAGGAGCTTTGGGAATGGTTTGAGGAAATCCTCAGCTGTAGAGGAGTTTCACTCCTGTTTCTGGGCCTGCTGGTTCTTGAATCTGTTCAGTAAATATTTCTGTCTGCTGATTTTTTTTTTCCTAGTGTGAAAAGTGGACAGATCAGAAATCTTGAATCTGCCAGAGTTTCTATGGTCGGTCAAGTCAAACAGTAGGTGGCTTTTGGTTTATTTTATTTATCATTTTAAAATAATGTTTTCTGGTTTACAATTCCATTGCTGCATAAGTGCACTTGAAAGTGAAAATCTCTTCAAGCAAAGTTGCTGTTCACCTTAGGTTTAATCCTGGGTGGTTTTTTGGTTTGGAGTTTTCTCTTTTCCCAGGGAATTGGTTTCTGGTTTTGTTTTCACAGGTGCGAAGGGGCTGCCAGTCCTGAATGYCCTAAAGCCATAGTAGAGGGAATTATTGAGGAAGAGGAGGAGGAGGACGAGGATGAGGAAGGGGGAGGCTCTGTCAACAAAAGGAAGAAGGAGGATGACACAGAGGTGGGGAGTTTGTCGTGTGTTTTCACCTTCCCTGCAAAAGCAGTCGCCTGCAGTTGTCCAAATCATTGTGGTGTGAAAGGGAGCCAAGTCCAAATGTTCAGACAATTTGTGAGTTGTTTGTGTCAGTAAAAGGTAGCAAATGGATTGCCCTGAATGCTGCAGGCTTCTCCTGCACTCTTCTCTTGGTGTAGCTCCTGCTTTCACATTCCCTGCTCATGCACTTTGTCCATGATTTGGAGAGATTTCGAAGCAAGGAGGGTCATCCTGGAAGTGTGTGATCCACCAGAGGGAGCCAGTCTTTTTTATTCTTTATATCTTTATATTTGTCCAGGTGGCTCCCTGAGTTGGTTTTCTTTGTGCTGTTTATCACTAACTCAGAGCTCTCTCTCCTGCTGCAGACAAAGAAGGAGCATTTGTACACATGGMGAATCGAGCTGGCCAAAACAGAAAAGTACTGGGATGGCTGGTTCAGGGGTTTATCCAACCTCTTCCTGAGCTGCCCGACTCCAAAGCTTTTGCTGTTAGCTGGTAGGTGTCTCTTCAGTCCTGCTGTGTGCCTCAGTGGTGTCCCACCCGTGTTTAGAGAACAGGCTCAGACTGGGCTCCCTGGGAGCTGCAGCGCTGCCTCTTCACCTGGGCTTGTCTGCATTCCTTCAAATAGCATGGTGTGATTGGAGCTTCTCAAGTGCAAGTCAAATAAATGCAGCTCTAAGCCCCTTTTGTACCTTAATAGGAAATACAGGGTGCAAATACCCTTTTTAGTTGAGGGGAGGGCTGTGCTCTTGCATTTTTTGGCTGTTTCTTCCCTGTCCCTTCACTCTCTTGAGGTGCAGCAGTGACATGTCCTTGGCGTGGGTGTCAGAGGTGTTTGTTTGCTATTTTTCAAGCTAATGTCTCTTTTAAAATGTGGAGTAAAGCCTGGCTGAGAGAGTTGTGTTCTTTCTGGCTTTTCCCCAGTACATTTGTTTGTTTGATTGTAGGTGTTGACAGGCTGGATAAAGATCTGACCATTGGACAGATGCAAGGTAAGGATTGAATATTGTTGCTCCAGCCTTACTGTAATGCTCTTTTTGCATGACAGCTTSTTGCTGTGGCTGCAGTCAATATCCAAACAAATGGCATTAAAGAATTAATCCACCCCAGGGTGTCTCTCACTGTGGTCAGGGGAAGGTGGGGAAGGTTCCATTCAAATGGCTTTTGCTGTGGGTTTTGTTCAATCTGCCATTCAGTGGTCCCAGCAGTGGAGCTGCCACACTTCTCCTGGGTCAGAATGATTGTCTGTGAGGGCTTCATTCTGATCCATTTTTGCCCTTTCTAGTTGATGTTCCTCGCTACAACACCTGGGACCATCCAAAACTGTCCCATCTGCTGRTGYTTCTGGCAGACAGCAGACCAAGATWAAGCATCTTCATTCATAGTTTGGGCTTTGGGTTGGGTTTTCCTCCCCCATTCCAGCTTTCCAGAGCAGCCAGTACTGGAAAGTGGTATTGGATAGCAGGATAAACRTTACCTTCAGGTAAATCTGATAGCAGTTCCAGCTCTGAGCAATCCAGCTCYATTTTAATTCCTGCTCTGGTTCCAGCTGGGGAGGTGAATGAAGCAGTGCTCCATGTTCTCTCTGGAGGCTGTGTGGGGTGTAGGGTCTSTGGAGGCTCTCTGCCATCCCAGGGCTGCTTTTCCAGCTGCATTTGGGGAGGTTGGTTGGAGCAGAGGTGAGATCTGTGTCTGATCTCTCAATCCACAGGGAAGTTCCAGATGCAGGTGCTCCCACAGTGTGGCCAYGCAGTCCATGAGGATGCTCCAGACAAGGTGAGCTCTGCTGTGGGTGAAGGCACATGAGCCCTGCTCTGAAATGCAAAAGGGATTGTTCCTYACCAGAGGAAGGTCATACTTCAGGGGCATTTTTGGCACAACAGATAGCTTTCACAAGCAGCTGGGATGTTTTAGCTGTCTGGAAAGCCCTGGTTTTCCACAGGGCTGGGTTGTGGATTGAACCAGGCTTGTGGTGATGTACTGRTTGTACCCATGTGCAGTGTGGATTCCCTTCCTTTCCTCGGGCAGTTCCTCACTATCCTTGCACAAAGCTGCAGCTTTTGGGGTTTGTCTGTGTTCTGTTGGGTTGGGTGGCTCACATTTTCCAAATAGAAACCAAATGTTGCTGAAGCAGCTTTGGCAGAGCTGGACATTGTGTCCGGATGGGAGCAGGAATGTGGTGCAGCCAGTGGAGCTGTGCTTGGGAGCACTTGTGGTTTTAGAGCTCATTCTGCCCTGGCTGCTGTGTTGAAACTCAGCCTTTCTGTGCCTCACTTTACTAGTCTGAATTAGGTGTTTTTATCTCAACATGCTGAGTTTTTAAGCTGTTACTCTTTTTTTTTATACATTCTGAGCAGTACTGACCCAGTTGGCCGGGCTTGGAGCAGCCTGATCTGGTGGAAGGTGTCCCTGCTCACATGGGGTGCCATGAGCTGTAATGTCCTTCCCACCCCAAACCATCCCAGGGCAGCTGTGGGCAGGTTACTGTCTGCATCCTGGATTTACCTTTYTTCCCTGCTAAACTTTGACATTGTTTTAAGGATTACTGAAGTGGGTGGAGGAGAGGTTTGGTCACTTCTCAGTGGCAGCTCTGTGCCAGAGTAAAGCTGAAGTGTGTCACACAGAGCTCTGGTTCAGGAGCAAACTCAGTTCAGCAGGAGAGGACATGAACTGCTGTTGGAAATGCTGCAGGCTTTGCTGCATTTCCTGTTCTCTTTGTGTCCCTTTCAATTCTGAGTGATTTTCTCCCTTCCCTCAGGTTGCTGAGGCTGTTGCCACGTTCCTGATCCGGCACAGGTTTACAGAGCCCATCGGTGGATTCCAGTGGTAAGCCCTGGGCAGGCTCTGCCCTCRCTGCTGCTCTGCCTCTCCAGGAGGGAATTGGGATTGGAGCACRGTGCTAAAAACCACCTGTAAACACCCAGCTCTGGCTCACAGCCAGCATTGCATTTGGTGTTTGTGTGCCCTTGAAATGGCTCATGGATTGACATGTGCTGATGAACCTCCTTCCTTGCAAGGGAGGAGCAAAGCTGATTTCTTCCTTTGTAGCCTGTTGGAAAGTAAATGACAAAATTTATGGCATTTAGCTTAGATAGTATTTTACTGAAGTAACCAAGGCCCTGTGTTGGAAACAACTCCCATCACAAATGCTGCTGGGGTGAAGCAGGTAAAGCTGTGTGCTTCACTCTGCAGATTTTCCATACGTATCTCATGTATTTTCCTATCACAATGGCCTTTGGAAGGCAGGCCTCTGGGATCAGCCAGACTGTGGGAGAAGGGTGGGATTGGTGATTGGAAAAACTCCCCAAGTCTCAGTTACAGCACCATGAAGTGCAGACCTCAGGGAACGTGCTGATCTCTTTAGGATCATAATTCAGGTGAGTGGTACAGGAAGCTGTTTCTTAAGCAGTCGTGAAAAGTCTTCCTGCTTCTGGCTAAAACCTCCTCTAGAAAAGCTGGGAGCTCCAGGGAGTGTGACACTGGAGTGGCAGTGCTAAGGAGATATTCCTGTGTGATAAGGAGATATTCCTGCATGACATCTTTATTTTTGCCCCCTTATCTCATCCCTTGGGGATGAAACATGTAGGAGTGCAGGACTGTGGACTGCATCTTTTAAATCCAGTGTAAGGATTCAGTGTAGGTGATGTCTAAACAGGGGGAGAGGGAGAAGACCAAAGGACTTTACAGCTAAATTTAGGTTGTCACCAAGTTTTCAGGAAATGCCTTGATTCTAACATGGGGACTTTGTTCCACTCTCTTTTTTGCCTCCTAGTGTGTTTCCTGCTTGTTAATACCCCGGTGTTCTCCAGCACTGATTCCATTGTAAATAAACTGCACCAGAGGCCACTGTGATGTATCCATATCCTCTCATCTCCCAGCCCAGCAGCAGTGAGAAGTTGGTGTGAGATTCATCCCCTAGAACTAGTTCTCCAGAATATCTCAACTCTTAGGGACTTCCTTCCTGGGAAGCAGCTTCTACTGAAGACCATGAAAAGCTCCTCRGGCCCTTGGAAGTGGGATCCTCTTCTCCACTGCCACAAAGAGACCTCCTGGAACCCCATGAAGTCCATCATATCAATCTCCATCAATTCTCAGGCTTGCTCAGAGCCAGAAGGGCTCTTGGCAGTGCAGATCCACTGAGGGCATTGCAGCACAGCCAAARGCTTCAGGATTCTCCGTGGAATCGTGGAACCATCTTGGAAGTGCCCCTTAGGTTTGGGTTTTCCATGCACGAGGTTTTTGTCCCTAAAGCAGACGAGGTTTCATCTCAGCAGTGCCAGCCTTAGGGGCTGAGCTGTGGGAGAGCCTGGGGGCTTTCCTGGGCAAAGCTGGATGGAATTGTACATCCAAAAGCAAGGGGAGGGCTGTGAGCTCCATTCCAGAGCCTTGCAGCTTTTCTGGGTTCAAGTCCTCTCTGGGAAGAAGAGCATGGATGACTCCATCTGCTGCAGACACATCCCAGGCCAGAGGATTCTGACCCTGCATTTATGGGAAGGACCAAGAGCAGCAGGGACAATGTGGTCAGCTGCACTTGGGCTGTTTTCTGCCCCTGGAATGCGTTTGTGGTTCCCTTCTTGGAGCTGACACAGCTGAGCAAAGATCAGCACCTTTGGGATGGAAAAATATGGAATGGGCTGTAGGGAAAACCCTGGGAGAGCTTGGAGTCATTCCTGCAGATGGAGATGCAGAGATGTAGGCAGCTGTTCTCCCCAGTGCTGGAGGAAGGACCTTGTTTAAACTCAATAATTTCACTGCCTGCCTTCTGGAATTGCCTGTGCACAGAGAGCTTTGGTTCAGGGTTCAGGTACCCACAGACAGCTCATCAGCTTCTTTTCACCCAAGAGTCACACTGAGTGTAGGACCAGGCACATTCTGGAGTAGTTTTCCTCAATATTTTGCTGGTGGATGTCTGAAATGCCTTTTTTTTTTTTTTTTTTTTTTTTTTGCCTGGTGTCCATAAGCCCTTGCTGCTGTCCCATGATTTTAACGCTGCTTTGCTGAGGCAAAGGTCTGTGGTGATTTGGGAGCTGCCCGTGCAGCAGGAATTGTTGGCATTTGAGAGGTGCAGCGGGGCAGAGGGTTTGATTTGGGGTTTTTGGCCTGGTGGAGATGCTCTGCCCTCTGATTCACCGGGGCTGTGTCCCTTCCCTGACCCYTCTGCAGGGATTAGGGACAGGAAAGGCTCCTGCAGAGAGGAGGAATGTCCTCCTGGCACTTTGGGCTGCTCTCTGCACTCCCCTCTGTGTTCATTATTGCAGTAATCTGGTGTAGCATCCACCCTGCTCTGCTTCCTGATGGATTCTGTGGATCTTCAGTAGTCAAGATGCAAAACAGCTCTTTCCCCAGCTATGTCCCCCAAAAGGGCAGAATTCTCTTTTCCAGGCGAGTCCTTGKTTCAGATTTTTAGGGACTGAAAAATGCACCCTGTGTCTCCAGAGCGTCGCTTCCCGGGATCAAACTCATGAATGGTGGTGGTGAAGTCTCATTCCTCCAGGGTGAAGTAACGTGGAGAGCCTGACTTGGAGCCATTCCTGGCGTTACCCYTTGATTTGTGAGGTCATAAAAAGCCCAGCCAAACAGAACCTTCTGTGGAGAACAAATCAGTTTTGTGGTCTGTAGCAGCACTGCTGGAAAAGGAAAGATTCCTGGAATCCYGTGGGCTCCCCGGGGTTCTGTTTTGTTGTTAACATTGAGTGAATGAAAAGAAAATAAATATTTCAAGAGCCTATTTAATTGAACAGTGTTGTCACTGTGTGCCAGCTCCCAGATAGGGGATAGGGGCTGTTCAGGGCTGTTCAGGGACTCCTGTTGTACTGGATTTAAATAAAAAACAATTCCAGGGACAGCAGCAGCACCCTGGGGGTGGGTGGAAGGGAAATTCCTTTCGGCTCCGTCGAGCCRTGCACATTTTTGGGACTGTGCTTTTGTCTGAGAAATATTAATGTCCTGCTGCAGTTTGCAGGGAGTGCAGGCTGGGATAAATGGCATYCGGTGAAGGATGCACAGGCTGTGGTAAAAGTGGCTGCAGAGAGAAGGAACGTTCCTTTTGGCTCCTGAGAAACGGGGACACAGAAATTCCCCCAAAATCCCCAGATTTTCACTGTGTTTCTCCTGCAGCCTTTGGATTACATAGAAACCTCTCTTGGCTTAGTTTCACTTGTAGGATTGAAGATCAGTGGCAACTGTCCTGATCCCAAGGAGGATCCCAAGGCTCAGCAGGAGCAGGAGATGCACTTTGGGATGCTGCTTTGTTGCAGGCTTCATTTTAATTTAATAAATTAAATAAAGAAATGTCTAAGTCAGACCTAGGATGGGTTTTGTGCCGGATTATGTGCACTGGACAAAGCATCAGGGACTTGTAGGTGGCTGAAGTGTTGGCATTGTTGGAAAAAGATTATTTCCTGTATTGCCTTGATTTGGAAAAATCAACCCTCGAGTAAGGAATTAAACTCAGGTCTGGGGCTGTCCAGCTGGAATTCTCCCTTCAGCCTGTGATGGGGGGGCCTTGCAGAAGTGATGCAGCAATAGGTAAAGTTGTTATTTTTTCCCTTTTGGCAAGGGAAAGGCCTGGATGATCTGAGGAAGCCGTTCCAGCCCTGCTTTCCATGTTTGGGATTTGTGAGCAGCATTGGGATTACTTGCAGAAGGTGACACAGAACATGGAAAATCCCCCAGGAGGTTTTCCCTTCAGGGGGTTTGGGGTCCTGGAGCAGCCCAGGGAGGAAGGGGTTGATCCGGCTGTTCCTGCAGGCTCAGCCCSGGGGATTTTCTGGTGACTCACGGAATTCTCTTGTCATCCAAAATGCTCCCCCATCCCTTCCCTGCCCCGCAATGWGGGGAGGAGCGGGGGATTAACCACAGCTTTTGCTTTTCCCCCTCTTTTCCATGACCAGCAATTCCTGTGTTACAGAAACATCTGGAAATGATAAACCAGAGGCTGGGGCTGGTGAGAGACCTGAGCTCTGTTCAACCCCTCCGAGTCCTGCGCTGCTCGTTCCTGGCTGAACGGCAGAGTTGGGAGAAGCTGGAAATCTTCCAGGCTGTTTTATATTCAGACAATTTTAACAGCCCCAAAGAGCTGCTGGAGCCTTTCCCAGTGCTGACCCCATCCCTGTGTGCCCAGGGAAGGGTTAATCCATGGCTGGGTGAGCACAGCCAAGGGTGGGAAATGCACAGTTCCCAATGCAAAGCGAGCGGGAGAGCCTGGGGAGAGTTCTGCCGGCTCTTTCCATCCTCCTCCCCGATTTTTGTCCTTTTCCTGCCAGCTGGAGAGAGGCCAGGCAGTGACCTGGAGCTGCTGAGGAGCTGCGTTTCCATCCTGGAGGATTTGAATCCTC